TTGCATGCATCATATCATAATTACAATTAAGCTCCTGTCATAAACTCTGAAGGAAGCTCCTGAATAGAAATTCTTCTGGACAATGTCTGTTTTAGCTTGAGAATTATCCCTGGTTTTTTAATATGTATTTGGACTTGGCTCAGATGGTGTGGCCATATGTGTTGTGCATTACCTCTGGCTGGAATCTCATTTGAGGGTGTTTAGCTATTCATGCTGTGAATATTCTCCTTGCAATTCTTTTTGTCTCAAGATTTAATCGAAGTGATTAAAGCTAAGGAAAACCGTGGAGAATAGAATAGAGATATTATTGTGCTAAGTAAAGGAGGAATTTGAGCACTCTTTTTATGTCCATCACAACAGATGTAAAACGAGGGCATGTAAACAGTTTCACTTTGTGTGACCTTAAATTTAATGGTCATAGGGTGCATTAATGCGAGAGGTGTTATCCTGTGTTGCCTGATACATGTATAGTTGGATTTTAATCGATGGCATTATAATAATATAACAGATCTTCTGAAATATGATATTGAAACTGAGTGTAAAAGCATTATAGTTAATCAATGTAGCATGTGCCTTGTATTATTTCTTGTCTCCTTTGAAAGATTCAAACTGGGTCATTCTGGAAATAGCAGCAAGAATTCATTTCCTTTATTCTTTTCTTTCCTAGGATACTCTCTGCTGACTTGTGGCTTACATGAGGGGTGTCACCAGTTAGTAAGGTAGGGTGGTTTCGTAAAGAAAAGGGAAATGCTGGCAAGTTCGATATCATCTGTTAGGCCCATTTTGTCATTCCTGTTTCTCATAGTTCCATGCTTGCTTTTCTAATAGGAGTTAGACTTGGAGTCGACCAGGAATTTGATATCACCCTTTATCTAAGAAAGCTTGGAATTAATATCTACTTCTGTATTTTTGAAGTTCCATTGTTTCAAATGGATTGTAGTTGTTGCTGGAAGCCTAATTCTATGTAGTTTTTTTCTTGGACTAGCAGCAGTGGGGACTTAAGAGCCCCTCTGTTTACCTCCTTTTCTCTCCCTTTCCTGATCGCTATTGGTACTCAATGATTTTTTGCCCCTTATTCATGTTGGGTCTGTTGGGATCTTTGTGCAGGGTACTGGTTCTGCCTCTCAAGGAGAGATTTCGTATGTTTCCTGGAATTGCAGAGTTCAACATATATTAGCATCCACTTCTTCCAATGGAATAACAGGTGAGATAGAAAAATGGGCTTACCTGTTATTGATGATGAGCTAGTTATTTTCCTTTAGTGTGGAAGACTGACCATTTCATACATTTGCAGTGGTTTGGGACCTAAAGAAGCAGAAACCAGCAATTTCGTAAGTTTCTGCTTTCTTTTTCTAAATAATACCACACACACACACACATGTTAAAAATCATTCCATCTCAGCTGATTCTGGACTTCTACTAAACAGTTTTGGAGATTCAATTAGAAGGCGGTGCTCTGTTTTGCAGTGGCATCCCGATGTTGCCACTCAGCTTGTTGTTGCATCGGATGAAGATGGGTCTCCTTCTCTTCGGGTAATAACTTGACTGTTTCTAGATTTTTTTTTCAAGTATTAATTTTCATTGAATTCCTAGTTCATAATGCTGTTTGCCTGCAGCTTTGGGACATGCGAAACATAATTGAACCTGTGAAGGAGTATGTGGGACACACTAAAGGTATGGCACAATATATAGTATTTCAACATGATTTTTTTTCTTAGGTTATTATGAGAAAGAAACATAGAAGACAAACATAAACATTGAGAAATTCATAGCAGAAATACCATAAACAAGCTAGAAATACCATCCTATCCCACAATGCTGTTTTGAGGGGGAATAGTTTTTGATGATGTGTTAGCTTTGCCATGCCCAAATAATCCGATGTCCTAACTATAGTGAACAAAGCATACCTCCATAAGACTCCGGGATCCTTTTCCTTCCAAAACATACAAAATGCTTGAGAAGAAATTCCTCTACCTTGGATTGTGTTTCAGCATGAGTTTTAATTTGCAGATGTTTTATGGGTTCCATGTAATTCGTAGCAGTTTCAGATTCTCCTTTAGTTTTGTAGTATAAAATCTTGTAGGCTCACTAGAAACAGTGTTCCAGCTTGTCTAATTTTATGATTCTTTATAATATTGGAGGTGAAAGGATATGCTGAGTCAAAAAAATCATCTCTGGCCTAGATTCCATGATCCTTTTTATTGTGCTGTAAAAATGTGAGTGTTTTTGTTTTATGCATGCTTACTGATCCAGGTTTGTATTTGTTGAATATTTAATTAAATATTCTTAGTCTTCATCCTGCATCTACCTTATCCTAGTTTCAGTGTTCCATGAGCTAATTCTCACACGAGGCTCAATATTTATGTTCTTTTAAAACTTTTAGTAATTTCAACATTTTATTTGGATACTTTTTTTGTTGGCTTATTATTTTTTCCGACCAATGTCTTCTTACATCAGGTGTAATAGGAATGTCGTGGTGTCCCAATGACAGCTCATATTTGCTTACCTGTGCTAAAGATAATCGAACAATCTGCTGGAATACAGTAACTGCAGAGGTAAGGGAGTATCTTAGAGGTCTCCCTCCCTTTTTTACGAATAAAAATTTGATTCATAACCTTAAACCCAGCAGGAAATTCCTGCTTCAAAACTTGTACAACTGAAGCATTATAAGCTTGGTTGTATTAGTTTCAGTTTTGGCAGCTTTGAGATGGTTTTAATTTGAATTTTTATCTTCGTACTTTTATCTTGCAAGCATTCACCCTCCTTTCCTTTTCTTTTCTTACACTTGGTTGATGCTTATTGTTTAATTTTGGAGCAGATTGTCTGTGAATTGCCAGCTGGCACCAACTGGAACTTCGATGTTCATTGGTATCCCAGGATGCCTGGGGTTATATCAGCATCATCTTTTGATGGAAAAGTTGGCATTTACAACATTGAGGTAAGCATCTACTTTGTGCTGCTACTGATCTTGTTTTTTCATCTTGCTGGTGAGTATGTAACGAGCAAGGGAAGGGAAAAATGTACTCATGATAAAATCATGTCACCCTTTGAAAAAGAAAAAGGAAAGAACAAAAAGAAACAATACCATATGGGTGTTAGTGGGTCGAAGCTGTACAGTGATGACTTAGAAGAGTAGGTTATATAATGGAATGCTAAAAAATGTGCATGCGTGCATATGTTTGTTATTTTCACTACCATTATAGAGATGTTCTGTTTTGGATCTCTGTTTGCAGGGTTGCAGTCGATATACTGCTGGGGACAGCGACTTTGGAAGAGGTAGTGTAGTTTATTAGACAAGAGATCTCATGAATGTATTATCTGTTTTCTATGTAATTATTTGGGACCATGAACTTATAATCATACCATCAACTTTAGAAGTTGATTTAGCGCATTTCATTTGATTTTGATAAGAAAATAATATGCTTATGAATCATGGCTGGGATGCACCCTTTGAGCCTAATGGATTGCACATAAACAATTTTATTTCGTCACAACACCAACTTCTTCCTTCCATAATACAATATAATTTTTTTCTATTAGGGCGATGACTGCCATAAAATATTGTTTTTGTGTGAGCCAGTCATGGTTTTAGTTTTGCTTTTAGTTCCAAGATTTGGATAAAGCTTCAACTATGCTAAGGCCAGTTTAATTTTTAGTTTTGTTTTTAGTTCCAAGATTTGGAGAAAGCTTCAACTATGCTAAGGCCAGTTTAAAATGGTGCCATCATTTTTGTTCTGCTCAAGATGTGTGACTCCATAGATCCACATTAAAAGATGATTGGGTTATCCTTGCATCTTCATTTTTTTTTGTCTGTGAGATTGAAATAGTGTACACGTGATTATCTAATGAAAGAGTGAGATGAATTATTATTTTAGTGTACACTGGAAGCAAATTCAAGTTTCAGGACCTTGAAGAATGCTCTGACAAACCGTTTTATAATGTTCCTCTTTTTTGTTTACACCTTTATGTTTTCCTTTATGCTATGATGCTTGTATATTCTATTATAAGTTTTGTTTTAGAATATTTATTCTGCCATCTATTTTATGCAGCAAAACTAAGAGCTCCAAAATGGTGTGAGTGTCCGGTTGGGGCTTCTTTTGGCTTTGGAGGAAAGCTTGTATCATTTCGCCCCAAGTTACAAGCTGCTGGTGCTTCCGAGGTATCCCTTTTGGATAAGCTGCTCTTTCTTCTATATTTTCTACATTTCTTTTCTACTTATTCTTTTAAAGTGTTTCTCTCAGGTTTTTTTGCATAACTTAGTTACTGAAGACAGTTTGGTGAGTCGATCATCTGAATTTGAAAGTGCCATACAAAATGGGGAGAAGTCTTTGCTAAAGGCTTTATGTGATAAAAAATCTCAAGAGTCTGAGTACGCATCTGTATCCTAAAAATCTCAAGATAAAAAATCTTTTCTTTTTGGAATCTCTCCTTCTCTTCAAATAAATTGACCAATTGTTTTGTGATCAATCATCTTGGCAGATCAGAGGATGATCGAGAAACTTGGGGTTTCTTAAAGGTGATGTTTGAAGAAGATGGAACAGCAAGGACTAGGATGCTTGCCCACCTTGGTTTTAGTGTACCCATTGAAGAAAAAGATGCTGTACAGGAGAATGGTCTCAACCAGGAAATAAATGCCATTCGACTCGATGATACACCTGCTGACAAATTGGTATATGAGAATAATAAAGAGGCCACCATCTTCTCTGCTGATGACGGGGAAGACTTTTTTAACAACCTTCCAAGTCCTAAAGCTGATGCCTCTTTGGCACCGTCTAGTGATAATCTTGATCTTGGGAATTCTGCTCCTATTGCGGAAGAAATATCACAAGAACCAGAGACATTGGAGGAGAGTGCTGACCCATCATTTGATGATAGTATACAATGTGCTTTGGTTGTGGGAGACTACAAAGGGGCTGTTGCACAGTGCATATCAGCAAATAAAATTGCTGATGCTTTAGTTATTGCTCATGCTGGTGGCATGTCATTATGGGAGAATACACGTGATCAATATCTTAAATTGAGTCCTTCACCTTACTTGAAGGTAGCTTAACTTTCTTTCTTTCTATTTTTTTTTTTTTTTAATGTACCCAGGTCATTAATGTCTTTGCTGATGTATATAGCTTCATTGCAATGGTATATGCTTTTCCTGATTATCAATCAGCTAGATGTTGTCACCTCACAGTCAACCATTTTCATTTTCAGATTGTTTCTGCAATGGTGAACAATGATCTATTGACCCTTGTAAACACCAGGCCTCTCAAATACTGGAAAGAAACTCTTGCACTCCTTTGTACAGTAAGATCCTCAAATCTAAGAAGTGAATGTCATGTCATATCTGATGGAATTCAGTTGTAAATTGTTTTTTTTTTGTTTTGTTTATCATTACAAGATATCCTGTTGTTGTTATCTGTTGATTGATAGTTGATTGTGTTTTGCTTTTTCTATTTTTGTAGTGAAATATCTGTGTGTGAAGTGGTTCCTGCTTGTACATTTAGTCATAGAAAAGTGCACATGTTCTTACGTTTGCATTTATATTTTTGGACTGTACTATTTATTTTGATTATGAAATATTAGATTCTGCAATTCTTACATGTGAAACTTATGTGAACCTGTGATGGGAAAAAGTTTAACATGGAAGTGTTTCTTAAAACAGATGTGCAAGACACTGTTGTTTCTCCGTATTGAATCACTTCTATTATTTTGATAATCAGTTCGCACCAAGTGAGGAATGGGGTATGCTATGCAATTCACTTGCTTCAAAATTAATAGCTGCTGGTAATACTTTGGCGGCAACTCTTTGTTATATATGTGCTGGCAATATTGACAAAACAGTTGAAATTTGGTCAAGGAGTCTGTCCACTGAGAGTGAAGGGAAAACATACATTGATCTTCTTCAGGTTAGCTGACAACAAAGTAGAACTTTGTAGTATTTCATGTTTTCATCAAGGAATTTTCATTTATATTCTTTGTTTGGCTAGGATTTGATGGAGAAGACCATCGTCCTTGCTCTGGCAAGTGGTCAAAAGCAATTTAGCGCCTCTTTGTGCAAGCTTGTTGAGAAGTATGCTGAAATTTTAGCCAGTCAGGGCCTCTTAACAACAGCACTGGAGTACTTGAAACTCTTGGGGTCTGATGATTTGTCTCCTGAGCTTACAATCATAAGAGACCGTATTGCTCTCTCCATGGAACCTGGTACGTTTTTCTGTTGAAAAATCTTTAAAAGAAATATAACATTTCCAGTCCTCAATCCTTAATTGTAGTTTATGATTCAAGTTCCTCTGTATTACTCTCTCCATGGAACCTGGTATGTTTTTCTTTTGAAAAATCTTTAAAAGAGTTATAACACTTCCAGTCCTCAATCCTTAATTGTAGTTTATCATTCAAGTTCCTGGCACTATGATCTTGAGAGATCATCCATTACTGTTTATTCCAACCATAGTTATATGAATAAGGGATATTATCTTGATCAAGGTCATTGAAACACAATTTCGATCTTCCGAATCTACTTTTGATAATTTTTGGTAGTGCTATTTATTTTTACATGAGCATATAAAATGAGGGGAAAAAAAGGAAATAGCAAAATGAAGGGAGAAATTTAGGCTTGAATACTTAGTTTAGAGACCAGGCAGTAAAAATACTTGATTTGATGTTGCTGCCTGATATGTTAGCTTGATGAGTCTGCTCTGCCCCTTTCTTTTTCAGCGTTGACCATTCCATGTGGGGTAGGGTTTCCCTTACCCCTTGGTGTAGTTCATTCTTAGTGAATTGACGAAGCAAATGGATTGTGGGAAAACCTTCATCTGCTTGAATCAGTGTGGTTAAAGTTGAGTCAGGTGTTTTTCTGGTGTTTAGTCATGTTCAGGTCATTATATGACATCTCTGTTATAACTCTGGTGTATTGTGGTAAAAGAAGTGTTTTTCAGTTGATGTGGTGAAAGGAGGTCTTCTAATTTTAAATCCAGTATTAATACAGTCCAGCATAACTTCTCCCATTGCCTCATTGCCTGAACTTACGGCATTATCAATGCTATCTGCAAACTGAGTAACAGTTTAAGATATTAATTTCTGATGCAGAGAAAGAAGCTAAGACTCTAGCTTTTGAGAACACCCAACAGCAAGGTGGATCGTTTTATGGTGCCCAACATCCTGGTTTTGGTGTGGCTGATGCCCCTCATGCTTATTATCAGGTGGACATTCTGGCTTTCCATTCCTTTAATGTATCGTAGTTTTTAAGTGCTGTTTGTAGGGAATGTGATGTGTAGCTCATGTGGTTGACCACTTAATGCTTGTTTATTATTTTAGGGAGCAGTTACTCAACAAATGAACCATGGTGTTCCTGGGAGTCTATATAGTGAAAATAATCAGCAACCTATTGACTCGTCGTATGGAAGAGGATTTGGTGCTCCTCCCTATCAGCCTTCACCCCAGCCCCCAGCATATCAGCCTGCACCACTGCCCCAAATGTTTGTTCCAACTCTTACACCACAGGCACCTAAGGTATTCTGTTTTCTTTATCTTGATTTTTTGATGTAAAAGATAACTCATTATGTAGTTCACTTGCATGCATTGATGTATTTGATTGTATGTTTATGTATGGCTTTTTTTTTTCCCTGACTTGGTGATACCCTATATGTGCTAAGACATAGTTGATTGTAGGAGTTGCCATCAAATTGAGTTTTTTCAGGAAGAGATTGTTTGTTAATAGATCTTGATTGAAGCTTGAGTATTTTTTTTCCCCTTTGTTCTTTGGGTTAGATGTTGCCAATGTATCAATACTTGTGCTGGTTGTTTCTAGTTTCTACCACTCATTACTTCACCTTTTTTTCTTGCAGACAAATTTTGCTCCACCTCCACCTCATGCTGCTGCCTCTCAACAGCATACGAGGCCTTTCGTCCCTGCAAATGGTCCCATGCTAAGAAATGCCGAACAGTATCATCAACCCACATTGGGCTCTCAGTTATATCCTGTCTGTATATTTTCTGTGGATTACAATTTAGTGTTAGCTGGTATATTTCTGAGGATGCACTAAAAGTTTTGCTTGCTTGTTTTAGGGGACTGCCAATCCTGCCTTTAATCCTGCACAACCCCCAACTGGTTCACAAGGACCTATCACAGCTCAGACGGGTGCAATTCCTGGCCACAGAATGCCACAAGTGGTTGCTCCTGGCCCAACACCAATGGGATTTAGGCCTGTACATTCAGGGGTTGTTCAAAGACCTGGGATTGGTTCAATGCAAACGCCAAGTCCTACTCAGCCTGCATCATTGCAACCAGCTGTGGTTCCTGCTGCTCCACCGTCTACCGTGCAAACAGTCGACACCTCAAATGTTCCTGGTAATTACCAAAACAAAGTTGGATTTCCCTTAAACAGATCAATCTTGGTTAATGATTTTAATTTACTAGTAGTCTTAGAAAACTTCTGCTCGCACTGGGGTTGTCTTTCTGACATCAGTTGTGGTTGTGTTAAAAAAATATGTTTTTGCCATGTACTAGCAACATTCAGGCTGCAGTTCCTGTCTGGCGGGCAGTTCTAGTAATCAATTCTTGTGGAAGAGTCGTCACATGGATGTCTTAACACTAGAAATCACAAGTAAAATGTGTGAAAAATCATCATTTGAAACTTAAATGTTGGTTATAAACAATCTGCTGGATTGCCACTAGTTTGGCATCCAACATTTGATCATAACAGTGGTTATATACTTCTGTATACTGCAATGATTTATGATTTATCAGTTGTGTCACTAGTTTATCTTGTTTTGCATTTGTTTCAGCTCGCCACAGACCAGTCATTGCAACATTGACAAGACTATTTAAAGAGACATCAGAAGCTTTGGGAGGTGCCCGTGCAAATCCAGCCAGGAAGCGTGAAATTGAAGATAATTCAAGGAAAATAGGTGCCTTGTTTGCTAAACTCAACAGCGGGGATATATCGGAAAACGCTTCTGATAAGCTTTTTCAGCTGTGCCAGGCTTTGGACATGAATGATTTTAGCACAGCTCTGCAAATCCAGGCAAGTGTTATTCAAGAGCTATTTATGTTTTCACACTTGAAAGGAAATGAGTTATAAGCACTGCTAACTCTTTCTATTTCTAAGCGTGGAACAGGTACTTCTTACCACAAGTGAGTGGGATGAATGTAACGTCTGGCTAGCAACGCTCAAAAGAATGATCAAGACAAGGCAGGGTGCTGGCGTGAGATCAAGTTAAAACACAAAATTTCAAACTATATGATCTCTACTTAGCATTTCTCATTCTACGTGTGCTGTAGCTCTTTTAGCTGGTTGTCTTCTTCAATGTACACAAAAGCGGCTTCGCTAGACAGAACTGCAGGGCTTTGGATTATTTGCCCTAACTCGCTGTTACAGGAGTAGTGCCTCCTGCTACATCAAGTCAGCGTGGATAGTTATCAGGACATTGATGGTATTCCCTTTTTTTTTTCTCTCCCCCTCTTTTCGCATTTAACATTTGTTTGTAGTGTTGAGAAATAGAGTTTTGGTTTTTAGTACACCAATGCTGCTACAACTCACATTTTTTTGTTGAAGTACAGTGGCATTTAGTTTATCTATTGCTGTCACCATCTGCTGTATCTCCCTCATGATACTATCATGTGTATGAGAAATGGAACTTCTAATAACATGATTGTTATTGAAGTATTTTGTTCCCCCTCGTCATCTTGAGTCACTGATTTATGAAATCTTACTCCGCCCTACTTGTGGCAAGCCCTTACTCTGTTTCCTACCAGGGGCCAGCTTTCTCTCCTCTGTTTTCCGATTACCTCCAACAGCGATTCTGTTTTACAGGTAGTTGCTGTGGCTCGAGTTTCATTTTATCAAAATATACGAGTTTAAGATTTTTTTTAATTTAATTATAAATAGTATTCTCATATCAGCTTGTACATTAACAATCAAATTTTTAATAAATCCCATTCTATGCTCACTCTAAAATAGGAGCGCATGAAGTTAGAGAACACGGAAACACTTGATTATATCTTTACTAAGATTATATGAGATTGTTAGAATCGATTATCTAATCTGAAAGCTCTGTTTCTAGGCCATTTAAATTTTTTGAATTTCATCAATTGTTAGGAATAAACTACCGGAGTAAATTGACTCACGAATTACATTGATTAAAATCAACAGTCTAATGAATGAATCACTGCCTCTTGAATCATGGGGGCAAATTAAAATTATGTAATTTAAACTTAAAAAGCTAGTATTTTCAATCACTGGCTGGCTAGAAAAGGTCACTGAATTCATCAACAAAAGCCAGTTACGTACAGACAAAAGAAATGCTTCGAGAGGCTTTCGCGGTTTCCCCGGTGTAAACATCAAAGTTCTTCCTCCCCGTCATGACACCCCGTTTCCCTGCAATAGTCGCAGTCCGGTGGTATGTACTCTTTTTTCCCGTCAAAAACTCTTGAGGAATATAATTAGTAGGTTTGCTCTTCTATAATCAAGTTTCTAGTAGTCTTACCTAAGAGAAGGATGTCGGGAAAAAAACAGAAGCTTCGACTGCCATAAACTCAAATGGAGAATATTTATATAAATATTGTTTTAGCGGTAATTTTTTTGAAGTATTTTTTATATAAAAATATATTAAAGTAATAATTTATTTTTGATGTAACACATTAAAACTATCTAAACATAAAAAAATTAATTAAAAAAAACAAATATCTTTAAAATTGCTTTTGCACATTTGTGACTTGAAAACTAGTATATTAGTGCTTTGAGCATTAAAAAAGAAGAAGAAAAAGAAGCAGCAATAATTGAAGTGTCCCACATCAAAAATCGAAGATAGAAAAATCATACTGATCCCTTAGTAAGATGGGTATCCGTATAATTAAGAAAAAAGAAGAAAGAAGATGGTCTCAGCTATAGTTCAATGCCAAACCGTGGATGCACAATACAACTCTGAGACACATAGGCAGATGCAATTGGTAAACTGTATGTACGGAGCTTCAAGGCCTTAAATTTGGTAGCTATCCACTCATGAGTCTTAGATCTAGTAAAACAGGTCAATAATATTTTTTTAAATAAAAAATATTAAAAATATAAAACATATTTTAAATATTTTAAATTTATTCATCATATTAGATTCAAAACTCTCAAGTAAGTTTAATGACGAAGCTATATCTAATAAGCTTGAATTGGGCCTTTAGAATTAAACTAGATTCTATTCTTTTGTGTCATCATAAATTTTAAATGTAACAAGGTTTCATAAAATTCTGTAATATTTTGTTATTAAATCTAAAAATATAGTTATTTAATTTTTTTTATTAATGTTTTACCTTTTCTATTATTTTTCTTAGCCACTGTAATATTTTTAATTGAAATATAAAGCAAACTGGAGCTTCAAGGCCTTGACTTATGGTGTGAGGACACCATCTCTCTGTCCTGTTTTTTGGAGTCTGAAACAAAATTCTCGGGCCACCTTCCTGCGTGAATGACTGGACTGAACTGCGATTTTTTTGAACCGAACAGATTTTTTTGTCTGTTGTAATAAATATTATCCACGTCAGTAATAAAATATTAAAAATATTTTAATTTCTTTAAATTTGGTAGCTATCCATTCATGAGTCTTAGATATGCAACCAAACCAGACCCCAAACTTTTATGTTTGACATCCACATCAAACTTGGATGTAGTAAAACAGGTCAATAATATTTTTAATTGAAATATAAAGCAAACAACTTCAATTATTTTTTCATGAACAATTTACTAATACTATTATTATTTTCAAATAAGATATATAATAATTAAAAAATATTAAAATTTAAATAAAAATTTATAATAGTATTTAATAATCAAATCAAAACTAAAAAGTAAATGAATGTGGCAAAATTTTCTTTGAGTATATATAAAAAAGAAAAATAAGGAAAAAAAGAAGAAAAATAACGAATTACCACATCAACGCTTGACTCTCTCACTTATAGCAAAGCATGCTCGCGCGCCGAACCCATTTTATTTTTTAAATTTTTATTAAAGGGTCCATCAATTTATTTTATAAAAAAAATGTTGTGCTACCCAATCATCTCCCACATGATCTCAAGACTTTTCCACGTGCTAACCAACTCAACTTACAGCATGAGAGTGTGATAAAACATGGTTAAAAAGATATAATAAGCTTATTTATTGATTGTATGAATAGTAAAATAACATAAAAGCCTCAATTCTCTTTTGAGTAGTAACATAATTTCTCCAGCATTACTATAATTAAGTTGAGGGAAGCTGCTGATGTTCTTTCCGTGTGTTTCAACATGATGTTGAGCCCTTAATGAAGATGGAGCAATAAGCACAAGAAAGTGAGGAAATTTGTTTTATATGTATGATTACAGGCATAGGGAAGACAACAATGGAGTTGTTTTTTATGAAGGAATTAATGGCAATTGATTGTGGCAGGTTAATATCAATCATGACGAAGGAGTTCCTTTCTTGGAGTAAACACAACACCAGTAAGTTAGCCAATAATAATAACAGCTGCTGTTTATCAAGAATAATAATGCTCGAGTTTGGTTTAGAATTACACTGTTTATTCATCAAGGAAAATCAAGATAAAAACATAGGGATTTTGTTGTTTTTTGATATTAGCCGGATAAAACTCTGCTCAAGACTTTGGCTACCAACCTAGCCAACATCAATGCCCTACATGACAAATGTCGAGCTCAAGGTAGCAAGAAGACTATAGTGCTACACAGCTACTAGATTTTCTGATGCGAGTAATGTGAAGCCTGAATAATTTTTCTCTGGAAGGTGCGCTACAGACAATTTCCAGCATGTTCGCAGGAACTTCAAAGCTTAACTGAGAATTTCGTGTATATTTCTCTAGATGTGGCCACAAGAAAAGTTTTTTCACAAAAAAAAATATTAAATGCCTTTGTTGTCAAAGCAATTCCAATCTGATGCAGTATGTTTGTTTTGTGTTGGGAAATGAATAGTTGAATATTCACGTACAATTCTTATGGAAGAAAAAGGCTCATCAGTCATTCTGCTCTGAAATTACTGAAGAACATATCGTAAACCACACAATTAACTACTTTAGAATAGAATCTTGATCGACGTCCTGCTTCAGATTACGCTTCTAGCACTCATTTCTTCCTCACCCGCAAGTTTTAGGGTTCGAGTTTTCTTGAAAGAACGCACTTTTCGGCTTGGTTGGTAGCCAAAGTCTTAAGCAGAGAAAGAACCAAACTACTAGCTTAAAAAATAAACTTCGTCCGCACTGATTTTACTAAAACCTGACAAATTCAGAAGTAAACATCATGGATCACCAACATTCCTTCACATGACAAGTATTCTTCATCATTTAATTCTAGATTCCAGTAATGTCTCAACCTAATTCGAAGATACTTTTGCCTGAAAGATACAGAAAAAACTCTGCCCAATAATAAAGACAACAGAAATTTGGCATAATTTACTTATTCAACAGAATTCTTGACCATACATCAGCTTTGCATAACAAAGGTGTAATAAATGAAAAAGGATCAACAACCTATGCAAGGGATGTGAGCATCGCGCCCTTGATCTAAAAGTATGTGGAATTTAACAGCACAAAAATTGAGTGAAAACCACTAATCAATGAGCTACGAACAAATCTACAACAAGGTAATTCTCAACCAAGAGAAGCTTGTAACCTGAGCCTCGCTCCACCATCGAAACTCGAATGAGCAAGCGTGTTATTCCTTTCTGAGAATAATTCTGAACCATCCCCAACTGATTGGTGTTTTCTCACTTGAAAGAGACTTTTTTTTTTTTATTATTATTATCATGAGCCTGGGATTGAGCTCTTCCTTGGGTGTCATATCGTGCACTAAAAATCTAGAACTAGAAACCCGATTTACAGATTTCAAACTAGATTCAACCCATCAATCTCTGCATCTGTCCAGGCCATGAGTTCCATCAAATTGCTTCGAAACCCCAAATCTGAATACACTCTCCGTGTATCCATCACTGATTTCCTTCCCATTTTACCATATGTTTCTTCCAGAATCTCTTCTCCATCACCCTGTGGTCTGGAACCAAACTGTGTATTTCTTTGTTCAGCTGGACGCCCCATTGTCTCCACCATCATGCATGGATTGTTAAACCCATTCCATGAATGAAGCGGAACCAATTTACTCAATGCAGCTAACCAATCAACCACCTCCTTCATGGCAGGTCTCCGCTCCCGACAAGACCTCACGCATTTGGAAGCAATCAAAGCCAACTGCTTCCTAATCATAGGATCCTTAAGCGGGACAGTTCTTGGATCATAAATAGCACCAAGTTTCCCCTTTTTAATGAGTGGAATTGCCCAATCGACAATAGAAGAAGGAGAATGCCCCACATCAATAGCCTTCCTCCCACTAATAATCTCCAACAGAAAAATCCCAAAACTAAACACATCAGTTTTAGTACTCAAATTATCTGGTGTAACATAACATGGATCAAGATAGCCCATGGTACCAGCAGGTGGGGTTGACTTTAGTCTATAATCATCATCAACACCGCACCTAACTGCTAAACCAAAATCACCCAATCTCGCATTGAAATTCCTGTCAATCAAAACATTTGCAGACTTAATATCTCTATGAATTACCGGTGGGTTTTGTGAGTGTAATGTATCAACAGCCTTAGCAATTTGCAAAGCCATTCTAATTCTTCTACCCCAATTGGGTGGTCTAGAATTTGAGTGAAGAGTATCATAAAGAGTACCATTACTCATAAACTCAACAACAAGCAACCTATCCTTAGTATCATTAGCAAAGCCTAATAAGTTTACAAATCTTGGGCTGTGAATTTTGGACAAGATCTCGATCTCGTTATCGACTTCTTGGCCAATTTCAAGATCCTTTGAGGGTTTCTTGACAGCAACATGACGGCCACGTAAAACAGCCTTGTAGACACAGCCATGGCTGCCTTTGCCTAGGAGTTTCTGGTCAGAGAAACCATCGGTGGCAGCTTCAATATCACTGTAGTTAAACTGTCGGATCTTGATGGGTTTTTCTTGCTTGGTTCTAGAAGTAGACGGAGACGATGATGCTTGGGACGATGGTGTAGTAGAGATTATGGCAATGGCTGAGTCTGCCTTGCAAGAAAGGTATCCCATCAAGAAAAATTTTTTGTTTCTTCTTCTTCTTCTTCTTCTTCTTCTTTTTTGTGGGAAATTATGGTGAAAGATGAATCCTTGATGCTCTTTATTTACTTGTTGAATAGACAACGAATTCAAGAATACAAGACAAATCGATGACTTTCCTGCACGAAGAGGAGGGATGTTCTTACAAGGGTTAGCCGTTAGAGTGTTTTCTATAATTGCAAATAACAGTTCCATAACAACTCTTTTGTAAAAATGTTTTTTTTTTTATTATTTCGAGTTTATTTTCATTGTTTTCTATCTTTTTAATAATAATAATAATAATAATATATTTTTATTTAATATATTTTCAATCAAAAATTATTCCTACAAAACTCTTAAAAAAATAATAGTTAGTACAATTCAACAGGGGCTATTAATTATTAAATGGGTGAGAGAAAGCAGTCAGACGACCTTTTCTTTTATGTGTTTTTTAGTCAAAGATGATCTGTCCGGATCTTCAAATTCACATTGGATTTGTGAGACGCCAGGAAAGTAGATTCGTGTCATTTGCTACACGACAGCTACAATCTTGTTGATTTATTATCCACGTCAGTAATAAAATAATATAACAATAAATCAAACCTTCTGCAGCACGGATGCTGCTAAAGGTAAACCCATCACATTCCACACCTTCCACCACGTTTTTTTAATAAAAAAATATTTATTTATTTTTATATTTCAAAAATACTTTTAAAAAATCTCAAATTTTTTATTAATATTTTTAGATTATTTTATAAATTTTTTATTAGTATTTTTAGATTATTTTAATGTATTAATATAAAAAATAATATATTTTTAAATAAAAAATGCATTAAAAACAAGACAACCAGCCCACCACAGTTACCGAAGGGGACCAAAGCTACGAACAGCAGCTGAAAGGTAAGTTGCAACGGACAGCTCCTCTTGTATGAGAAGGGGCTACAGATGAACCTTTTCACTGCATTTAACATCTTTATAGTGAACTATCATTACCATTCTTAATATAGAAGTTAATACGTTTATAAATCACAATCTTGATCTGATTTGCTCTCCGGCCAGATTGCGGCATGTGTAAGTAGCCGCCATGCTGATCATTTCCTTCCACGTACCATCTGTGTCGTTTGTAAATGATAAAAAAAATATATTTATCTCATGTTAAAAAAATATATTTTCTTTTAAGTACTTGTAAGTGTGAGTTTGTGGTAACTTAAATAAAAATCATGGTGAATAAGTTATCCTAATGAGTTTTTTTTT